GTTTGACTTGATTTAATGGATTTCTGAAAGTATTATCCATTTAGTAAGTGTATTATATTAATATGTATGTGTGTGTATATTATATATTAATATTTACGTATGTATTATAATTGTGTTTATGAATCACTAGTTGTATAATATATACATACATAATGTATTACACCAGGGCTTGACAAATTTGCTTGAAATCTAGGAGCCAGCTAAAAAAGTTAGGAACCAGATTTTTGAACATCAAAAATACAATTCTTAAAGGGACACTATAGTCACCAGAACCACTGCAGCTTACTGTAGCTGTTCTGTAGTCTCTATATTGTCCCTGCACACCTTTCAATGTAAACACTGACTTTTTTGACTTAAGACAGGGTTTACATTGCTGTCTGGTAACACCTCTAGTGACAGTCACTCAGACGGCCTCTAGAAGTGCTTCCCGGGTACAGTGTGCAGCACCTACAGTAATGCTCCCCATAGAGATGCATTGGTTCAATGCATCTCTGTGAGGAGAAGTTGATTGCTAAGCATGGTGCTTTGCCGCGCATGAGCAATAGTCTCCCAATGTTTTTCTATGGGTAAGCATTGGATTGGCTGAGATTATAAAGATTGATCTCAGCCATGGAGGTGGGGCCAGCCGCCACGTCACTAGCATGGCGTGGGAAAAAGGGTGAGTAACACCTTTCCCATGGGATTGAAGGGGGGGGCAGGTCACTTAAACTCAGACAGACAGACAGACACACACACACACTCACTCACAGACAGACAGACACTCACATTGATTTCACACTCACAAATCATTAATTTTAGTATTTTAAATCCACCCAGCCTTTCCACCTTTGGGAAAGTTGGAGTGGATTAGCTTTCCCTGGGGTCCAGTTGGGCTGCTGTCATCTCTCTGCTCTGCTCCCTAGAGCGCGGTTAAGTGAGCCGGGGGCTGGAATTATAGGGAGCAGAGCAGGGGAATTACTACTCTCACTGCCGCTCTCATTCAGCCGCCTCCCTCGTTTAGCTGTCCGCAGTCCGCCTCCCTCATTTTAGCTACCCACGGTCCGCCTCCCTCATTTAGCTGCCCGCGGTTCGCCTCCCTCATTTAGCTGCCCGCGGTTCACCTCCCTCATTTAGCTGCCCATGGTTCGCCTCCCTCATTTAGCTGCCCACGTCCTGACTCCCTCATTTAGCTGCCCGCGTCCTGACTCCCTCATTTAGCTGCCTGCGTCCTGACTCCCTCATTTAGCTGCCCGCGTCCTGACTCCCTCATTTAGCTGCCCGCGTCCTGACTCCCTCATTTAGCTGCCCGCGTCCTGACTCCCTCATTTAGCTGCCCGCGTCCTGACTCCCTCATTTAGCTGCCTGTGTCCTGACTCCCTCATTTAGCTGCCCGCGGTTCGCCTCCCTCCTTTTAGCTACCCGCGTCCTGACTCCCTCATTTAGCTGCCTGTGTCCTGACTCCCTCATTTAGCCGCCCGTGTCCTGACTCCCTCATTTAGCCGCCCGTGTCCTGACTCCCTCATTTAGCTGCCTGTGTCCTGACTCCCTCATTTAGCTGCCTGTGTCCTGACTCCCTCATTTAGCTGCCCGCGTCCTGACTCCCTCATTCAGCCGCCTGTGTCCTGACTCCCTCATTTAGCTGCCCGCGTTCTGACTCCCTCATTTAGCTGCCCGCGTCCTGACTCCCTCATTTAGCTGCCCGCGTCCTGACTCCCTCATTTAGCTGCCCGCGTCCTGACTCCCTCATTTAGCTGCCTGTGTCCTGACTCCCTCATTCAGCCGCCTGTGTCCTGACTCAATGAGCTGACCATTCGTCTGCCTGCCTCAGCCCTGCGTCAGCTGACTGCCCAGCTCCAATCTCTGGTAGCCGGTCACCTCAGGGGCTAAACAGGCTCAAAAATCCCTGTACCCACACTCCATACATCCCAGCAGGGGAGACCGGGACGGCACTGTGTAATGGTGGCGGAATAGGGGTGCAGGCCTTGAGCTGTGTAAGAGGGCCCCAAAATTTATGATGGCAGTCAGTCCTGCATAAAGAGTGTAAACCCTCTGAGCCGGATGTGAAACTCCACCTTCGGCAGTGTCATTGGATGTCATTAGCAGGCTCAGCACGAGTTCTGGGCTTAATTAATTGCAATTCTGAGTAAATTTTCTTTGCACATAATAGCATTAATTTACTGAGAGCAGTCAGGTGACTATCTCAGACCATGAATGGAGACAATTCTGAAGACACCAGATGCACGTCATTAGAGCTTAGCAATGGTTATAATGCTTGGAATGAAAATCCTTCCCTAACATCACACACGACAGAAGCCTGTTTAGATGAAACTTCATGGCTGCACTATAGCAGACTGGGAGGGCAGGCTTTGATCACACTAAGTACACTGCAAGCTTTGTTCGTAGAGTGGTGGTATATATAGAAAACCATAATTATACAAATAATGTCTGCATATTGCCCACATAATAGGTTATTTAGACCTTTTAATTTTCATCAAACCTACTGTATGTAAAATTAGAGCTAGCATGTAATCTACCCTTCTATTCCCCAGTAGGACCACAGGAGGATTAAATTGTGTAAATGTACATCATTTTATTATTATTTTTTCCCATCTCCATATCTACTTGCTCTACATGCAATGTTTCAAATGTTCTGCATAAAGAGTCTGGTAGTGAAGTGGTTAAACATAAAATTGATAATTAATGCAGGTTTTACACTATAGTCACCCAAACAACTTTAGCTTAATGAAGCAGTTTTGCTGTATAGATCATGCCTCTGAAGTTTCACTTCTCAATTCTCTGTCACTTAGGAGTTAAAAAACCTCCCTGCGTGTAACTTACATGAAAGCCTACCTAAACACTTCCTGTAAAGTGTCTAATGTTTACACTTTTACTGCACAGCCTGTTTAATCTAGAATTTCTTATCTCCTGCTTTCTTAATAGTTTACTAGACTCTACAGGGGTTTCCAGTGTGTGATTAAAATATAAATTTTTTAAAGTAAGTTAAAGGACCACTATAGTGCCAGGAAAACATACTGGTTTTCCTGGCACTATAGTGCCCTGAGGGTGACCCCCTCCCGCCCGGCTCTGGGGAGAGGAAAGGGGTAAAAACGTACCTTTTTCCAGCACCGGGCGGGGAGCTCTCCTCCTCCGATCCTCCCATTCGGCTGAATGCGCATGCGCGGCAAGAGCTGCGCGCGCATTCAGCCGGTCTTCCTATGGACGCTTGCGTGCTCTCACTGTGATTTTCACAGTGAGAATCACGCAAGCGCCTCTAGCGGCTGTCAATGAGACAGCCGCTAGAAGAATTGGTGGAAGCATTAACCCGTTTATAAACATAGCAGTTTCTCTGAAACTGCTATGTTTATAAAAAAAAATGGGATAACCCTAGCTGGACCTGGCACCCAGACCACTTCATTAAGCTGAAGTGGTCTGGGTGTCTAGAGTGGTCCTTTAACATCTAATTTAAAAAAACAAACAACAGAAAAACCATGTTTCCATGCAAGCTATGTCAATCATAGCCAGGGAAGGTGTGGCTAGGGCTGCATAAACAGAAACAAAGTGATTTAACTCCCAAATGACAGTGAATTGAGCAGTGAAATTGCAGGGGAATGATCTATACACTAAAACTGCTTTATTCAGCTAATTAAGTTGTTTTAGTGACTATAGTGAACCTTTAAAACAAATGTTGATCAATAATACCAATAATTGTCATGAGCAGAAATACATAAATATATTTTTGAAAATGTTTGTTTCAAAACAAAAAATCCCTACAGCCATTAAATATTATATTTATATATAAAAAAAACTTTCTTTACTTTAGCTGTCATGATGTAATATTTCCCAGTATGTAATCACTAAATGGATTTTTATGTATTAATTCGGGGTAGTCTTGCAGTTATAAGCTACACACTAAGACACTAATTAAAAAACCCATTACCCACTTAAAGAAGGGACTCAGAAATATAAGGGCATTAAAATGGTTAAATTCAATAAAGTCAATGCTCAGCACCCAGTTGGCAATTACCAGGGCTCTGCTGCCACCAATGTTAAAAAGCTTCTGACATTAGACTGAGCATAACATTTTATCTATACATAGTTCTACCAAATGTATAGATTAGGACGGCCAGGAGGTGGGTGTAAGAGTAACACCCATGAGGATGCACAGAAACTGAGGAATAGTGAGTAAATCCCTATATTTTTTCATTAAATATACCATGCGGTGGGGGTAGAAGGGTAAGAGTTTAGTATGCAGCCCATATTTTCTACCACATAGGGATAACACCTCCGCCTCTTCCGTCCATACTGAGGAAAAGTTATATAGGGTGGGCTAGGAGGTTGCTAAACCTGTGATATAGCTATTAAATAAAAGATAAGTCACCTAACTGCTAAATTACCATGTTCTCGGTCTAGTGATTGAAGCGGCTAATACAGTTTTCTTTTTTTTCTTTTCTTTGCAGATTTTGGCAATCATTTCCATTCTGTTTATTGTGTTATCTACAATTGCCTTGTCACTAAACACACTTCCAGAACTACAAGGTACAGATGAATTTGGACAAAGCACAGACAATCCCCAGCTTGCACATGTGGAAGCAGTCTGCATCGCATGGTTTACAATGGAATACCTCCTCAGATTTTTATCTTCACCTAATAAATGGAAGTTTTTTAAGGGACCTCTTAATGTCATTGACTTGTTAGCAATCTTACCATACTATGTCACAATATTCCTCACAGAATCCAACAAAAGTGTACTTCAGTTCCAAAACGTTAGACGAGTGGTGCAGATTTTCCGTATTATGAGAATACTACGAATTCTAAAGTTGGCCAGGCACTCAACGGGTCTGCAGTCCTTGGGTTTCACGTTGAGAAGAAGTTATAATGAACTTGGATTGCTCATTTTATTTCTTGCCATGGGAATTATGATTTTCTCAAGCTTGGTATTTTTTGCGGAAAAAGATGAAGATGACACAAAATTCAAAAGCATCCCAGCGTCTTTCTGGTGGGCTACCATTACAATGACTACTGTTGGGTATGGAGATATTTACCCAAAAACTCTTCTAGGTAAGATAGTTGGAGGTTTGTGTTGTATTGCTGGAGTATTGGTAATAGCTCTTCCCATTCCTATTATAGTAAACAATTTCTCAGAATTCTACAAGGAACAAAAGCGTCAGGAGAAAGCCATTAAACGAAGAGAAGCTCTTGAACGAGCCAAACGAAATGGTAGCATTGTCTCAATGAATATGAAAGATGCCTTTGCCCGGAGTATAGAACTTATGGATGTAGTAGTTGAAAAGACTGATGATGATACAGGAACGAAGGAGAAAGTACAGGATAACCACTTATCACCCAACAAATGGAAATGGACAAAGAGGACCCTGTCAGAGACAAGTTCCAATAAGTCTTTTGATGGGAAAGATCAGGGTTCTCCAGAGAAGTCTCGATCTTGCTCAAGTCCACAACACCTCAATGTCCAGCAGTTAGAAGATATGTACAACAAAATGGCAAAAACACAATCCCAGCCCATACTTACATCAAAAGAGACCAATCAGACGGGCAAACCAACAGAAGAACTTGAAATGGAGACAATCCCAGGTCCGGCAATCCCACTTTTGACAACTCACAAGGAAGGCATTGTTGATATGAGAAGCATGTCCAGCATAGACAGTTTCATTAGCTGTACTGCTGATTTTCCAGAATCTGGAAGGTTCTCTCATAGTCCATTTGCAGTTCTTCCATACAGGTCTAATATAAATCCTGGGAGGGATATATCTCGTGAAATTAAAGACGGAAGGGATAGACCACTATCTATGAATGTCAGTGGAGAAAGCTTCACTGAAATGTACACCAAAGCCGATGGAAGCCGCCATTCCACATTCATTTTAGACAGTCCCAAAGGTTTAGTAAAGGTTAAAAACCCTCTAATGTTAAGGTCTCTAAAAGTAAATTTTCTGGAAGGTGATACAAGTGATCTTTTACCTACCACCAATATATTAAGCCCCTCAGGGCATAGAGAAATTCACTCTAAATTTGACAGTTCTTTGTTTTCTGACCAGTCGGTAAGGAGTCCTGAAACTTCAATGTACACGACAGCTAGTGCTCGAACGCCTTCCAAGTCTCCTGAAAAACAGATGGCAATAGCCTTTACTTTTCACGATGCTAATGTACATAAATATATAGACGCCGACACAGATGATGAGGGCCAGCTGTTAGATGGATTGGATTCTTGTCCCTCCAAAGAACTTCTGAGCAATTTGAGCCCAAAATATAACATATCCAACAGCGGCCATCGAAAGCAAAGGGATCCTGTCCACAGGACAGAAAAAAATCACTTGGAAAGTGTTGCTTTATCTAGTACAGCAAGGTTCCTAGGTCAAAACTGCATGTACTCTGCAGAAGGTATTACTGGAAAAAGTCAGGGGAATCTGGAAACGGTCAAGATAGAAAATCACATTTCACCGGAAGTTCATGTACTGCCTGGAGGAAGAGGACATTCAAATACACACGACCCAAGCATTTGACACAGGATTAAAACAAAAAGGAGTTACGAGGAATGTTCATTACTTGCACACTGAGCTTCTGCATGGCATTGACAAGGACTGAAGCTGGCATCCGCTCCCTTTGGTCAGAGGGAAGGGATTCAGAGGGGAACGTTTTCCTCTTGAACAAACTTAAGGATGTTTCTTAAACCATGCTAGACATGTAAGTCACATCTTGGATAGGAACACTTGCTAATATTTGATGTCCTTTTTTTCGAAAGCCATTGTGACCAAATATGCCCCAAATGAACAGAAACCTGTTTTGTTTTGTTTTTTTCCTTTTTTTTTTTTTTTAATTGTATACACAGTTTAACTGCATTTAATTTAATGGTATAGGTAAGGGTAAAAGAGACCACCAAGTTTTTTTTCCAATGCAAAGTGGAGATTACAAGTGCATAATTTAATTTAAGTGCAGTTTTATTGCGATCTCAAAGTATGAAAGATATGGGGAATGTGACTTATTCCCCTTATATTTTGTTGGTGTCTAATGTAACATTAGAAGCTGGAGCACAGCCAAGGTGAGTTGCACCAGTTGTTCAGAATTTTGTATTCCATTAATCCAGAATAAGTGGCATAAAACGGACACATAATTTATCTCATCAGCAGATATCTAAAGGTTGTTTCAGTGGGGAAAAAATCAGGGCATTACACACTTTAGCTATAGAAAAATACAGAAAAATTATTAAAAACCATTGGGTCTTAAGATTTTAGAAAATATATTTACTAGAATAAAATACAAAATTATTTTTTTGGTTTGTGGTAGAATTTCTAACATGTTCCTCATCCATAGTTATGAGAGCAATTTATTTATTTTTTTATAACATTTAAAAAAAAGATAATTAACATTTTTTGCACAAGCAAACTAAAAGTAGCTGTTAAAAAAAATCTATAAAAAAACAAAACGACTGCACCTTAAAGTAAGCACTATCTTAATTTGTGCCTGTATTTGCAATTTCTTTTCCTTCCATTTTAAAAAGCATTAGTGAGAATGTGTTTGGTCTCCACGGATTCATGGATCATTTAGAATGTATTCTGTAAAATAATAATGTATTAAAAAAGAGAGAGAGGTATACACTGGAGTTTTTGCACTGGTATGAGATACATGTAACAGTTTGTGATAATTGTGCACAAATATATTTTTTAACTTAATTGTTTTTTTTAAGTGCAGCTAAATTATTAATTCCGTAGCACTATGGCCTACCGGAACTCATTAACAGTTTTGTCCCTAATGAGCAGTTATATTTTCTGTATTCACAATTTACAGTTACAGGAATGATTTAAAGGCCATTATAGGTCAATGAAACACAAACACTAATGTATGTCCACTCAGTATATTTCCTTTTGGCAACAGTTAAAATAAACAATAATAACAGTTATTCATGGGCAAAGTTATAAAATTACTTTAAAATAGTCAACCAAATTAATTTCAAGAAAATTTAAAAAAAATATATGCTGAAGACAGATCTTAAATATTATTTGATTTTATTACATTTTTTTTATATGATGAATTAAAAATAGCAGCACATAAGCCATAAATAAAATGTACTTTTTCAGCTCGGTATAATAAAATAAAATAATTAAATTGCAAGAAAAATTGTTATGGATTCCATCTAAATAAAACAATACCATAGTAATTAATGTGCACATTGGTGGTGTTACCCCATGGAACCGTTTGCCAAATGTGTATATGAGATTTAAAGAAAATATTATATCCATAAATTAAAAAAAATTATCTATAGCTAGATTATCATATTGATAGCAAGCTATAGAGAGAGCGGTTAGTGTTTGTTTTAGCCATGTAACTTTGTTGCACTCCGTGACACAAGAAAAAGTCCTGTTTTGTTCTCAAAATACTTTTTTGTAATAATTTATTTTTGTATTTTCTTTTTCTTTTTTTTGTCATACCGACTCCCAGAAATACAATAAATTCCTTTCAAGGATTACGTGTGCTTGGGCTTCGTGTTGCCCTTACTAAATAAATCGTGACATTTTCATCTCTGTGTTACAATCAGTTTTTGGATATGTTTTGTTTAAAAATAAAGAAAAAATTTAAGAAAAATCGCATAATATTGACTTATTGGGAAAAAAAAAAAACTTCAAAACGGTTTCACAGTCTGTCAAGCAGTAGGTCAGTTTTTTACATTCTCATCATCATGACTAAACATATATATAAAAAAAAAGGTTTGAAAAGATCAAGAATTCATTGGTGACTTTATAAAGGCCTAAACCAATTGGTGCAACTCTCCTTCTGCGCTGACGCTTGTTGTGATTTTCTATGCTTGAAAAATAACCTTTTTAATGTCATCGCTTGTAAAAAAATAAATAAAACAACAACAAAAAAACATAACTGGTTTCCCACCGATGGAAAAAGGTGTGAACATCACTGTAAGGGAAGGAAACTCATATTTGTGATATCACCATCCCAGCCAGGAATTCTACATATTGTGAAACTGTTACTCTATAAACTGTTGTCATTCTTGCACATCATGTACAACGGAAATGCAGAAATAGCTGTAAAACCAGAGCAAGGTATGGACTAGATCACGGAGTCACCATCCGTTAGAAAATGATGACGTTATTGGTACAGAATTTGTAACTCTGTTATCTGAATCAATAGGTTGTTGTTTTTTTTGTTTTGTTTGTTTTTGTTCTATTTTTTTGTTCTTTTAAAAAAAAAAAAAAAGGACATTATTTTTGCTTTTTAAAGTCCACTCTGTGTGTGTGTGCGTCCCATGAAAATGAAGAATTGTGTGATACATTTTCGTGGACTTGTCACGTACATTGAAATGGGGAATTCAAGCTGAAAATCTGGCTATTTTTTTTTTCTGTTCATCATTTTTAAATTAAAAGGCAATGTTTAGGAAAACCGCAATAGCCAATAAAATGGGAAATACAGAGCTTGTCATGAAATCATTTTTAAATTTATTTACATGCATTTCCTGGACTGTTAAAATGTATATAATTATTATATATGCAATATCTGTTATAACAATGTCTTTGTTTGTTAAAGATGTTTGTCGTTGTGTGTTGCAACCAGATGACGCAAGACCCCCTCCCTTTCCTTAAATACGCCATTGTCTGTTGGAATACTTTGTGGACAAAGGCAGATAAAGTACAACACCCATATTACCTGTGTTTTAGTGTTTGAATTTATTTTTTAATATATTACGAAAAGGAGTCAAAATTGGGTTTATTTGCTGAGCAGTGACCTGCAGTTGGTTAAAGTGACCAATTTCAAGTCAAACCGTTAATTAATTGAAGAAGAATTTTTAGAATAGGTTTCTATTTTTTGACTAGAGCAGATTTTTTATTAACTGAACACAACTCCATATTTAGTGAATAAGACCAACTACGCTTACTTTGACATACGCTTTCAGCTGCTGTGGACAACTCTGTTTTCTTGGTGCACAATTAATGGAGTTGTAGTTCCAAAAGCAACTCTTACCTCTCGAGTCCCAACATTTCACATGGACACGGAGGGACGCTTTCATTTAAGGCTTGGACTGTTCTGATAAATTTTAGGTGACTTTCTAATAATTTATAAAATAAAATTTAATTTAGAATAAGAACAATATATTTTATTTACAGATTGATTTCTAAACACATTTATTGTAGTTTAAAGACACATTACTGGGAGTATTATTGCTATGGAGCTCTGTTATACACTCAGACACATTACTGGGAGTATTATTGCTGTGGGGCTCTGTTATACACTCAGACACATTACTGGGAGTATTATTGCTGTGGAGCTCTGTTATACCCTCGGACACATTACTGGGAGTATTATTGCTGTGGAGCTCTGTTATACACTCAGACACATTACTGGGAGTATTATTGCTGTTGAGCTCTGTTATACACTCAGACACATTACTGGGAGTATTATTGCTGTGGATCTCTGTTATACACTCAGACACATTACTGGGAGTATTATTGCTGTGGAGCTCTGTTATACACTCAGACACATTACTGGGAGTATTATTGCTGTGGAGCTCTGTTATACACTCAGACACATTACTGGGAGTATTATTGCTGTGGATCTCTGTTATACACTCAGACACATTACTGGGAGTATTATTGCTGTGGAGCTCTGTTATACACTCAGACACATTACTGGGAGTATTATTGCTGTGGATCTCTGTTATACCCTCGGACACATTACTGGGAGTATTATTGCTGTGGAGCTCTGTTATACCCTCGGACACATTACCGGGAGTATTATTGCTGTGGAGCTCTGTTATACACTCAGACACATTACCGGGAGTATTATTGCTGTGGAGCTCTGTTATACACTCAGTCACATTACTGGGAGTATTATTGCTGTGGAGCTCTGTTATACACTCAGACACATTACTGGGAGTATTATTGCTGTGGAGCTCTGTTATACACTCAGACACATTACTAGGAGTATTATTGCTGTGGAGCACTGTTATACACTCAGACACATTACTGGGAGTATTATTGCTGTGGAGTTCTGTTATACACTCAGACACATTACTGGGATTATTATTGCTGTGGGCTCTGTTATACACTCAGACACATTACTGGGAGTATTATTGCTGTGGAGCTCTGTTATACACTCAGACACATTACTGGGAGTATTATTGCTGTGGAGCTCTGTTATACACTCAGACACATTACTGGGAGTATTATTGCTGTGGAGCTCTGTTATACACTCAGACACATTACTGGGAGTATTATTGCTGTGGAGCTCTGTTATACACTCAGACACATTACTGGGAGTATTATTGCTATGGAGCTCTGTTATACACTCAGACACATTACTGGGAGTATTATTGCTGTGGGGCTCTGTTATACATTCAGACACATTACTGGGAGTATTATTGCTGTGGGGCTCTGTTATACATTCAGACACATTACTGGGAGTATTATTGCTGTGGGGCTCTGTTATACATTCAGACACATTACTGGGAGTATTATTGCTGTGGAGCTCTGTTATACATTCAGACACACCAGTAACATTGAGCTCTTAGGAATGAAAAGAGGGACAGAGTGATTAGGGGAAAAGAGAGAGACTGTCCTCCTAATAGAGACACTTGGGAGGTATTCAACTGAACTATACACCTGACCCGACTCAGTGTGGGAGGGCTGAGGGGTAAGGATTTGCATAACAATGTAGCACTGATGTAGGAAGTAGAACAGAAACTGACAAACTGTCAAAATAAAGAGAACAGATAAAATGGCACATGGGATGTTTGTGGTGCAGCCAGGGTTAAGTGTGATGTGAATGGTACCAAGTAAAAAAATGGAAACTGACTTTCATTCCTTAAATGCAGATTAGCGTTCAGTTGTCCAAATTCAAGTCTTTCAGACAATAGTTTTTTATGGGAACCTACAGGGCTATTCACAACAAACACGTGGTTATTCCAGCCAAATCTCTTAACAAAATAACCAAATCGCCATCAAAC